CATTTCCTATGTTTTTTCCTGCATGAGTGTTTCTTGACTGTATCTTTTGAAATCAATGTATTTTATCATTTATTCATGAAATATTTTGTTTATATTACCATAATACAAATCATTGTTTTCATTCTTCTTTTCTTACTTTATGAACAAAAATAATTTTTGTATTACTACATCAGGTTTATACAAAACATCGAGTAATGTGATGACCCATATATGCAACTGTGATTTAAAAAAAAATACATATACAAAATAATACATTTAATATTTGAAATGTTTATTTGTCACTTGGTCACACATACGTGTATTAACATAACAAATAAACATATTTAAAATATTATATGTATTTTTGTTTGACTAAATCACTGCTAAAATAATTATTTTAACAAAATTAATATTGTAATATGTGTTTTTTTATCACACTTGCATACAAGTGTGTAAACTTGTAGTTATACAAAAACTATTTTAGTTCATGAAGTAAGAAAAGAATGAAAACAATGTGTGGTAATCAAAAACAAAATATTTAATGAACACTCAGAATATTAAATGATTAAATAAATTGCTTTTAAAGATGGAGCAAAGAAGCACTCAGTCACGCATAAAATAACAGGAAATTAATACAGGTGCTTTTTCACCCATGTTGTGTGTTAGAAGGGGTTTGCACAGCTTGTGCCTCAAAGGGTTAATCCAGAACTCACTCATGCTGTCATGCTTGTGCTGCTCTTTGAGCAAATCTGATTTTGACATTTTCAAGATCTCCAATTGAAGAGATGCTTTGTCCTTAATACAGCGTGATTCAAAAAGATTCATCCGATTTCAAAATGATTTATTTCACTTGTAAATCATTACAGAACAATGCAGTAAACTGTAAATGGTTTAAGTGAGCATAAAGTTTATTATGTAACTTTAAAAGTGCTCAATATGAACCTCCTCCAGCTGTACGGACATCAACGTGATAGTCAAATTCATCCCATGCTGGATTTACCATGTCTGGTGTCACTGTACTCCTGGCTCTTTCAATGCGATTTCAGAGATCATCCAGTGTTGTGGAACCAATGTCGAATGCTCTGAGCTGTTGAAGGTTCAGTGCCGACGAAAATCACGTTGCACAGTTATGACGGATTCACTCTTGTTGAAATGGAGAGCGCAAAACGCTTTCTGCTCAGGGGTTACATCTCCACATAGACTGAAAGGAGCCATCTTCCAGTGATAGTCAGAAACTCTGACAAGTGGTATGTGATTGGTTCCTAGGCGCCTCACGGTTGTAAAAATATGGCGCTTTGAAATCGGATGAATCTTTTTGAATCATCCTGTATTAGCCACCTTGCAGACAGTTACAGTGTGAGAGTATAGTGCCTTCGGGATGAGTTGGAGAGGTGTTTGTGATCCACAGCTAATCATCCAACATCAGCACTTGATCTCACTAATGCTTCTGCTGCTGAATGCAATAAAATCCTCACAGCAATGTTCCAAGATTAGTGGAAAGCTTTCCCTGAAGAGTAGAGGCAGTTGCTGCAGCAAAGGGAGACACACCTCCTTTAAAATACTCTTGATTTTGGAAGAAACATTGGATGAGTAGTTGTCCACAAACTTTTGGCCATATAGTGTATTTATAGGCATGAACACTGAACTCATAAATATTAAAATAAATATTCCCCCAGAGATGGGGTGGTGGTGGTGAGGCCACAAGGCCTGAGATTAAAAAAGAGGTAAAAATAAAAACAGCTGAGTACCAACAGCTAGTTTACCGCCCCCTCGTAATATCCATTGTTTACTCTTGTCCTGTACTTCATACTTGCTCTATATTTATTGTCTGTGAGTGTATGATGCTGGATGTAGCACCTTTTCCTGTATTCTGTTCTTTATTAAACACGTCTGTGAAAAGTAGGAATGACTCTTCTAATCAGATTATGGATTTAATGTATTTTCACATTTCATTATGAGTAAAGTTAACATGCTTAACAAAGGCAAACAGCCAATTGTTTGCTTTTGCCAGATACATACATTTAGTGACTTTAGTTGGGATATTTGTGTTTTTGTTTTGACGTGTTTTAGTTAAAATATAAAAACTGTAAAAAATATCTACTAGTCTTTGCACCTGCTCCCGCAGAATAGCCTCATATTTTTTGGTCATTAAATAACAATGAAGAACGACAGTGCTGTGAAAAAGTATTTGCCCCCTTACTTGTTTTCTTCTATTTTTGCCATTTTGTTTCAGATCATCCAACTAATTTTAATATAAGACAAAGACAACACGAGTAAACACAAAATGCAGCTTTTAAATGATCAGTTATTGAAAACAATTTATTCAAAACCTATATTACCCATTGTGAAAAAGTAAATGCCCCCCTACACCTAATAGCCGGTTGTGCCACCCTTGGCAGCAATAACTGCAATCAAAACGTTTTGCGATAACTTGCAATGAGTCTTTTACATTGCAGTGGAGGAATCTTGGCCCACTTTTCTTTGCAGAATTGTTTTAATTCGGCTACACTGGAGGGTTTTCGAGCATGAGCTGCCTGTTTAAGGTCTTTTCACAGCATCTCACTGGGACTTTGACTTGGCCACTCCAAAGACTTAATTTTGCATCTTTTCAGCCATTCAGATTTGGACTTTCTTGTGCCTTGGATTATTGTCCTGCGGCATAACCCAACTACGCTTGAGCTTTAGGTCACAAATTAATGGGCGGACTTTCTCCCACAGTATTTTCTAATATAGAGCAGAATTTATGGTTTCATCAATTATAAAAAACTCATCCAGTTTCCGCAGAAGCAAAGCAGCACTGGACCATCACACTACCACCACTATGTTTGACTGTTGATATGATGTTCTCATGGTGAAATGCAGCGTTAACTTTACGGCAGATGTAATGGGACTCATGTCTTCCACCTTAGACTCATAAGCCCACAGAATAGTATTCCAATAGACTTGGGGTCATCTTGATGTTTGTTTGGCAAATGCAAGATGAGCCTTTGTGCTCTTATTGGTCAGCTGTGGTTTGCACCTTGCAACTCTCCCATGGATGCTATTTTTGCCTTCCTTATTGTGGAACCGTGTAAATTGACCTTAACTGAGGCACGTGTGGCATGCAGTTCTTTAGGTGATCGTCTGGGTTCTTTTGTGACGTCCTTGATGAGTCGTCAATGTGCTGTTGGTCAAATTTTCATAAGCTGGCCACTCCTGGGAAGGTTCACCACTGTTCTGAGTTTTAACCCTTTGTTATAATGGCTCTTACTTTGGTTTGCTGGCATCCTAGAGTCTTAGCAATGGCTTTGTAATCTACAGATAGATTTCAGTGTGTTTGTTCCACATCTGTGTTTGAATCTTTTCAGACACGTGGCATCATGTGCTGCTTTTTGAGACCTTTTAGCCTGCTTCACATCACCAGACAGGTTCTATTTAAGTGATGTTTAGATTAAACAGGTCTTGTAATCATGCCTGGATGAGGCCAGTGAAACTGAACCCAATATTCTATTGAATTTGGTTAACTGGTTGATTTAGTAGCTAAGGGGCAATTATTTTTACATATGGCCTGGCAGGGCTAAACAGCATTTTTCCTTCATTAAATGAAATCATTTAAAAACAGCATTTTGTGTTTACCTGGGTTATCTTTATCAAATATTAAAGGATGACAAGGCAAAAAACATGAAATTGGCAAGGGGGTTAAATACTTTTTCACAGCACTATCATTCAGAGGCAACAACCCCAAGACTAATAAGATAAGAAGTTGTAACAGACATCATGGCTCCAAAGCATTTTTTCTCCCCCTGCTTGAATCTTTGAAAAATGGGGGAAGATAATTTAACATCTATCCCACAGCAGTCCAGGGACCTTGTTTATAAAATGTGCTTAAATTTAATGATAAATTTGCTCTTAATTTAAGGTCTCTGCTTTTATGGATGACCAATTTATAAAAGCACAATGTTCATGAAGAACATACAGTTTAACATACTGGCACTGCTGTTTGTACATCAGGGTGGAAACTTGCATTCATCTATGCACCCCTTTTCATTCTGATTTTACAAACCACAATTTTTTCACATGCATTCACTTTAGGGTGAGCATGTTTTATAAATGAGGTCCAGGATTTTGGCCTCTTATACCACGTTGCATCTTATAAGGGTAGGCCATTTAGCATTTCAAAACATTTTTACAGTACACAATACACATCATGTACTAACTATCCAAGTTTTCCTGAGGAGGTTGGAACAAACACAAAGCACCAGTAGCATCACATTTGAAAAGAATGAAAACCATGAGTATAATGACACTAATTTCACCAACTGTGCAACAAACCCAAGTAGACAGCACCAATTAATGCTTGATATTTTAAGCACTGATATGCCCAGAAAAGCACATTCCTACAACTGATCACCACAGTACAGACATATTTGCCACCCATAGTTTTTTTTTTTGTGGTTTACATTGCATCCCTGCCACAAGTTTGTTTTAAGAAACCCATAATTAAGTTTGCTGTAAAGGCAAGGTCAAGACAATTCAGGGTGAATTTCTGTGGTCATTTGTTGAGACCATGGTCTGCTCTTAGCCATGATAAACATTGAACACCATAACCTTGACATTCAATAACTAAAGTCAGGATGCAAACAGGAAGAGGTAGATTTTGAACTGCACCTACTACAGAAAGGTAACTGATACAACCAGCAGGACTACAGTGCAACCACCACACTGTGACAACTCATGAGAAGCTACTGTAATTCCATGTACACTACAGCACTGGCTACTGGCATAACTGCCAACTTCAACACAGATTTGCCATCACTATTACTTGCCTAGAAAAACAGTACCAGTGAGCCAACTGGTTATCTAGTGACAAGATGCCTCATGAAGTTATGACTAAACTTGAACACAGTTAAATGGTCCAGCAGATGTAATGTCAGCATGTACTCAAAAAACAAAAACAACCAGGCATAACATTAACACTAGCATTAACAAGTAACATTAACCCATAACCAGAATAAATTAGAAATACAGAAAAGATGCACAGAAATATTAAACAAGGTTTATTTCTAACAATTTGTCAATGACACTATAGGAATGAGATTTCAGAAAAGGCAGAAAAGCCATTTAAGCTTAATCTTTATCAGGCCAGTCAAATTAACTTGAAATCCAAAATAAACAAACTTATCCAATGCAACACTATTCAAATGCTGACATTCACTAGACATTTTAATGATACTGATCTAGATCCCTTTATTACTCCTCCTTTACTTGGTGCAGGTTTGCAGACATGCAACTTGCAGCAACAGGAAATAGTAAATCTGGAAACACTGGAAAAAAATTACTCAAAAATGTTTTATTTCAAAAGCTCTGGTGGCTCCTGATTTTCATATGCTGTAAATCCAGTCAACATGTAAAATACAACCATACAATACATTAGATTCAAAAAAGGTACCAAAAAGTACAGTAAAAATTACACTTCCATGCCTGGAAATGTGGACAAAGAAAATAAAAATAAAAAATAAAAAAGTGTGGAAAAGTGACACTGCTTCCCCATTCATTTGTTGTCCTGTACAAATGGAGCATGAGTCCCATCATACCAAAAGTCCCATCTTGAGTGACCTCCTGCTGCTGCTGCTGCCGCCATTATGGGTTCTTGGGTTGAAAATACTTACGGCCTAAGGGGTGGAAAGAAATGCGCAAGTGCAATTAAATGCAAAATAGGGGAGCAAGATAGGGCATGCTTAATGGCAAAAAATAAAAAGTAGGAAGCCAGGGACTGATTAGAATATGAGGGGGGTGGGGGGTGGGGGGGGTAGAAAGGCACCAGGTGCTGTGCAAAGCCAAGTAGCCCATTGCATTTAATAGTAAGAGCCAATCTCTTAAGCATGTCCAAAAAGCAAGTGAGCAGTCATCAACCCTTATTGATCAAGTAGTGTAGTTGAGATGCATCTTTTATAAAGTTTTTATTTAAGTCCAAATTAAGCTCGAGTTGCTACACGTCCCTTCTTTATTATTGCCAAGGAATTGAACACAAATTTCCATTCAGTTAAAACATGAGTTATTGGGACTTGAATGAAATCCAGTAAAAGCTAATGCCTACATTTGACCATTAAATGAAACACTAAAATGCATACCTGCACTACACGTGATCAGTATGGCTTGTAGCTACTCTGGTGGCCTCCACGTCTTGGAGTTTTTCCATAGCTTGTATTGCCCTGGTCTGGAAGATGAGACAAAGAGGGACTGAGCGCTTCTGTGCAAAGACAAGATAACCATAGTGATCAAGCAAGCAGAGCAGGTAGTCTTCACTTACTGTAGTCATATCCACCACCGTAGCCATAGTAGCCAGAAGAATAGTCATAATTGCCATAACCCCCATAGTTGCCATAGCCTTGCTGACCACCATAGCCATAGCCTTGACCACCATAGCCCTGGTTCCAGTAGTTGTTGTATCCCTGGTTCCAATTCTGGTTTTGGCCTGAGGAGAAGAAAGTAAGCCTTAGGACCAAGTAGTGCCAGTAGGGTATGTACACACATTTAATACTAGTCTCTGTGAAAGCTGGATCTGATGCAGTTTAATGTAACTGCACACCAAGTATCTGCACTGGACAAATTGCAAATGGAGATTAATTCTTCCTTGGACAAGTACATCCAGTCTTTTCACCAACATCAGTGCATAGAGACTCCTACACTTATGCATATTATGTAGAGTCCAAATACTGGCACTCCATATCAGTGGGATCAAATGCAAATCCAAGCTTTATAGTACTGAATTCACATACAAGACCACTATAATCCTGTTATTTTACTTACCACCTCGACCCCTGCCACGTCCTCCATATCCACCACGACCACCATACTGCTGTTGCTGGTACACTTCCTTGGGCTGGGCAATTTTAATCTCACACTGAAAGAGAAGGGCATAAAGGCTACTTCAAAACAAATGCATTCAATAACTAACAGCAAGTAATTACACTGGACACAAGGCTGTCCTTAATTACCTTGCTTCCGCTAACATTATGGTATTTCTTTTCCATGATTTTCTTCACAGGGGATTCTTCCTTATATGTAATGAAGACAAACCCCCTCCTTTTGTTCGTCTTTGGATCTGTGGGCAATTCAATAGCTTCAATCTGAGAAAGAAAAACATCCATTAGTATATGGATACATGTAGCAGAGATTGAGAGTTTAAAGTTTGCTTAGAAAAATGCTCACCTCCCCAAATGCCCCAAAGTACTCCCGAATCTGTTCTTCAGTTGTTTCAGGATTAAGGCCACCAACAAATATTTTCTTAACTGGATCCTTCTTCATTGCCATTGCTTTCTTGGGATCAATGTGCCTACCATCTAGTCTGTGTTCCTTCTGCTGCAACACCTGTAACACATCTTTGTTACAAACAGGCCAAGGCATAAGATATCCAACAAAAGCACACGCTGTCCATAAATACCTTTTCTACACTGGCAGCTTCTTTGAAGAGGATGAATCCAAACCCACGTGATCGACCAGTGTTTGCATCCATTTTGATGGTACAATCCGTCACTTCACCGAACTTGGAGAAGTAGTCCTTTAGATCTTTCTTGCTTGTATCCCAGCTAAGTCCACCAACAAACATTTTTCTGCAGAAAAAAGCAATAATTTAAACTGCATATTCCAAGGCAAACAAACAATTTACTACCAACATATGCCTAAAGCATTTAAAAGCTGTTGGAACTCAGGTTTGCAATAAAAAGGTTAAAAGAACCCCTCCACACCCATTTATTCAACTCACTCATATTTTGATCACTGTCAAGAACCCAAACAGCTACACCATGGCACCTACTAAGGATGTAATGACCGATGCTGTCTAGAACAATAAAAAGCCACTTGAAAAGTGCAGAGAAGCATCAATACACCACTTTTCACTAAGGGTCTCACCTTTACTGGAGCAGCCTAAGCATTTACATGCATCCTATCCTGTTGTGCGTTACATAGAGACCACCTGTACTGACCAATTTCACTCCAGGACAAAAACTTTGCAACCCTGACTTCAAACAGAATTTATGCAGCCAAATTAATTTATGAAGCACACTACAAGACCTGCAGAATAAACAAACCCTGACCTGGAAAATCGTACCAAATCTAACTGTAGTTACACCTCTCTGTGTTACATCTCACCATCCAACTCACTGCAGTGATGCTTATGAAACCTCCAAACCATCTCCAATCACAATGGCTACAATGAACGGCAGTTCCACCAATGGCGCTGAAAGGCATCCAGGCCTGGCCCATCCCCCATACACCCACATGGCGCCAACAAAGACCTCTCGAACAAAAGCCCACAAAAACAGCACTTCCGAATGTTATTAACGGCGACTTCATGAGTTTCTCACCCGGCATCCTCCTCGCCCTTGCTGGCGTCAATCTGTCCTCCATCTCCGTTGTGAGACTCATCCTGAGCCGCAGAGTCGTCGCCCGCCTCGAGCTGCTCCCCGGCGCCGTTCAGCTCCTCTCCGTTGCCGTTCTCGGAGGTTTCCATAAACTGCTGCTCAGCGTCGGCCATTTCGAGTGTCTTGCTGCCTTTCAGTGCAAAAGAAACAGCAAGGTTTACAGATTTTAGAGAGCCCCTTCACCCTGCGGGGTTGGTAGCACGCGTGTCGGTAAATGGGTGTGATCTAACGTTACACACTAGCGCTGCACAGCCGGATGACACTTTCAGTGACAGAACTTCTTAAAAACGACAGGCTCCTTAAATTAGATGTCAATTTGTTATTTTCATAAGTCAATAAGACTGTGCGAAGCTCTAACCCTTCGCTAGGCTAAATACAAACGCAGGTAGTTATCATTTACGTCTCCCAGCCTGGTACAGGACCGGCGGCTCGTTAGCAACATGCTAGATACAGCTAAACAATGCTAAATGTTAGCTAGCTAACCGGGAGCAGACTGAACCGCTAGGCTACGCGGTCCAGACTCACTGTTTATGCCGAAAACATGAATGAGAACATGCAGCCCGGATCTAATCTCCAAAATACATTCCGCTAACCACACAATTCTGCATGAGCTAATCAGACTGAAACCCGGTGCCGGCTTACCGTCTGCGCGTCCCGAGCTGCGACTGCTCCTCAAGATGGACTCTCGCTCACATCGCCGTCTCGTGGCAGCTTTTATAGCGCCGGATGAAAAGCCGCTCAATAAAACACCATCTGATTTGACGGACAGGAGTTCACCGCAATGGAACTGTCATCCCATTGGTTAGTCCCGCTGTTCCCTTTTTTTCAAGCGCACTTCTTTCTCCTGTCCAAACCGTGAGTTCACACGAGCACAAGATGTTCCAGCTGAGTCGAGGATTTACAGTGTTTTCACTCAGCAAGAGCTACATAATATACTTCTGTTCAGCACGATATACATACAAAACCTGCACATACAAGCGCCAGTGTTGGACCTGCTGAAGCCAAAATACATTCAGATTATGTCACACTAATATTGTAAACAATAAAAAAGGAATGTGGTCTCACTCAGTTAATCATACAAAGCTGTAAAGAGACAATTCCACACAAAAAATCAAACATGAAAAAGACTGCAGAAGCTAATCAAAATTTAGATTTTTGTTTGAGGGTTAGGGTGCCAGATGCAGATCAAACTTTATTCCAGCCTAAAAGGATTTTTAAATGTTAAATCACCATTTATGATTTTATTTAGTAGGGGCCTAACAAAACAAGGCCCAAGACTCAATTTGATTCACAATACTTGGTCTAGATTAAACAAATTCTGGACTAAAAAGGATTTTCAATGGTAAATCAGTATTTATGTTACAATATAGTAGGGGCCTAACAATACAAAGACCAAGATTCAATTCAAATCTTGATAAGGTCCAACAATTTGGTATTCTCAATGATTGTTTTACACAAAATTTAAATGACTATGTGCGGTTTCCCAGACATGGACTAAGTCTAGTCTTCAAATTATTTGCAGTGCCAATAGTAATTCACACAATTTACTAACAATGCTAGAACTGAAAGGCAGGAGAGATTCAGGAATGAGTTGTTGTTGGTGCTGATTGTGTGCAAACTTTGGTGTTGAAACAATGTTGTTGCATTAGATGGCATAATTAATAGAATGTCCACTAATCACTGTGTTGCTTTGCAATTTGATTATGTCCAATAAAGCGGGCCTGTGAGTTTGTCTCTGCTCAGTAGCCTTCTGTGAACAGCTACTGTTGAAATATTTAAGCTGTTTGAAGTGTTTTAAGGCAGTTTTAAAAATAGTTTCATACTTTCACTCGTGCAGAATTTAGATGTTAGAACTGCTCTTCTCTATACAATCATTTTTGTATTTACAATGGTGTTCTACTCACAGAGATAAAACATACTATAGCCTGAATAAAATGTTTAGGTAAGAGCCTGGAACACAGTTATAGAAAATAAAACAGCTTGCCTGAACACACAAACCCACATGGGGGAAAGAAAAACACATCTGAGCATTTGCAGCTTGATGTCTGCATAGCCTTGGGCAGTATTCACACACAGCTCAAACTGTATTTGACTGACTGTATGTGACTGCCTTCTTCAGTGGACTGTATGTGTGAAGTGTTCAGACAGGCAGTAGGCCTATTAGCATTTACTGGCATGTAAAGGCATCAAAAGGCAACTCAAATCAAGTTCTGTGGGATCTTTCTGCTATTCAGATATTAAGAAAATGTGCAGACATTTGGATGGTGAAAAAACAAAAAAATGTTAAAAAAGCAGACAGTCTAGATCTGACCATCTTTCTAAACAAAGCCAGCATTTTTGCTACATTGAAGCTCCAACACTGTTGGAAGTTATTAAACCTGTGATCACACTGTCAGATAATTTCTGAAAGAACACCTAGGGCATGAATCCTGGACACAGATCAAGCCTAGTCTTGGACTAAACTGCAGTGCCAATGGCAGCATATATGGAAAGAGGATGTAGAACAAAACAAAGGCGACAAAGGCAAAACGGTAAATGCATTTTTAAGAAAGGAAGACTTGTTTAGTGTAAATCTAATATACTTCACTTAATCAAGTCGGCAAATATGGCTCTGTTCACTCTTGGGATTAACCTCTGAGCATTTGCAGCTTGATGTATGTCTCGAGTGAACTGATCACAAGTGGACGAGACATGAAGCCATTCACTCCTGGCATTTCCATGTATCTCTGATGTGTTTGGACTGCTAATAACTTTTAAACAAACGAGAGAGAAGACCAGTTAAGCTTCATGCAGCTGATTGTGTCTCTGCTATGATTACACAGCTGATTATGGTTCACCCGACACGTATGTTAACGGCAGGTGTAAAGATGACTTGCCTATTTTCCAAAGATAGATCTTTGATTAAACAAGATTATGTTCACATTCATATGTAACAATACATTTTGGTAAGTTACATGTCAGCAACATATCAGAACAAATGGATGTGATGAAGATAAAAGAAAAAAAAAAACGTAGAAAATTATTAAGAAAAAATGTATTTCCATATTTTATGGCACTATTAATTAAATGTAGCTTAAGGTATGGTTTAAATGAAAAAGCCAGAAGATGCCAGAAGCAAGTTAAATGTAACTGTTTTTTTTTTTTTTATAATATTGCCTTGTGATTTTTGTGTATGTGAGAAGCATTGCTTATTTTAATATTAATATCAACCTGCAGATGGAAATTAGCCATCTGGCTAAATTTGGTACATTTACATCATAACAATGATATTACCATGTACATTTTAAACAAATAACAAAAGAAAATAACATAAGTGGAGAATCATTTTTCATACTGCTCATTTTGTCATTAGATTTTCAGAGCATCTTCATTACAGACTTTGTATGTTTAAGCCAAAGTGCCATTTTTGGGTTATTTGACCACAAAAAGCAAAAGCTAAACTAAGAAATCCACCCCACAGACAGCCTAGATCAGGCTTACTGCCTGTCTGAACACTTCACTACAGCACATTTACAGTCAGCGTGAATCAAAAATCATAAACCTCCCTTCTGTACCGTGAAGTACTTCTAAACGAAAAGTGGAAAAAAAAATCAGGGAGGTCTCTGAGCTAGAACATTTTTGCTTGGTTGGTGGGAAATGGAGGTGATTATTGGGTAAAATTATGCTTAGTATGACCAAGCACATAAGCTAACAAGGTAAAAAAAGGTCTTTTAAGGTTGACATGAAAGAAGGCTCAGCTCTTCCTCTCTATCACCAGAGTGATGCCCATAGTGGGCATTGGTGAACGGTCAGCGCTCTCCTGCAAGGACATTAAGGTGAGGCAGTTAAAGCCTCATTTGGCTTATTTGGCTTGGAGAGCAAGCACCTCGTTCCTTACAGGTTGGTAGCTGTCATGTGATCAAGAGAACAAGACAGTAGGTGGGAATCTTCAACTTTGAGTTAGAAACAGAGTAAAAATGGGTCAAAAAATTAAAGTTAACACTTGCTAACAAACTATCACTATCTGATTTTCCTTGCTAGAAAACAAATGCATTCAATTAACATAATTTATAAAATTCTTTCATTCACTTCTTACTCATTCTCAACTGTATAACATCTAGAGGTCAAACTGCAAATGCTTAAATACACTACTATAAAAGAACTCCAAAGCCTAACATGAAAACAAAGTGGATATCAATCTGCAAAGTCACAAATGATATACCGGACAACAATCAAAGCTCAGAAAAATAATAATGGTTGTGGAGACAAACTGCTGTTTGAATGTCTAAATAGGCAAATCACAACTGTCTTCCATTCGAGCTGAAACCCTACCCAAGTGTTCACCATATAAAAAGGTACCACTTCTGAAGTTACTTTGTTGACCGCAGATGGTCCATTATGGGCCCAGAACCTTATATGCATTAAGTGTGGATGGGCATTTGTGGACAAGTGATACAGACCAGTTAGGCTAAACATTAGCTGTATCAGGGACATCTCTTCTTTGCTAAACTATTGAAAGTAATTAGTTGGATTTATATTTCAAATCACTTCATTTGTTCATATATAGTACAGACATACTATTCTGTTTTTAATGATTTCTGATATAATGAGCATTTGAAAATGTGTAAATCTATATTGTAATAAATCATAAAAATACTGAATCCATCTTAATGCTGACAGCTGTTAGTGTTTCTTATGCTATGACTAATAAAGTATTCTTGTTACAAGAACTCCAGTGTTCATGTTTTGATGGAATTTGCTGAATTTGTAGAGCATTTTGAATAGGGCTGCAACTAATGACAACTTCCATAATCAATTAAATTGGTTCATTACGGCTTTGGTTGTGGTTGAATGTGTTTTCTTTAGCTGCCCAGCCATGACAATGCCACAGGCTTGCCGGGTAAGCTCAGTTTTTCACATTTTACAGAAAATTATACTTCTAGATCACGTTAAAGTGAAATGTTGCCCTAATTTTTTAACTTGAGTCATACTTAATCCCGAACTAGGGATGCACTGCTATTAGAAATCATGGTCCAATGCAGATATCATGTACATATCTGCAGATACATAAACATTAATAAAATGTAGAAATTAGGATTAGATCCACCTGGATTAGCATTACAGATAAATTTGACTGACAGTTGCAGAGTTACAACTGCAGGAAAAATGAATAAATGCACATACTGTACACAGCAATCCAGCATCACCTAAACATACTACTGTTTTTGGAGTACAATAACTCATCAAATATCAGACTGAAATACTGGTGAAGTTCAAACATCTGTCTGATGGAAATGTTTTCTTTTTAATCAACTACCTGTCAATACAATATGATCCCCATATTGTGTATCTCCATCCGGAACAATAGTCTCTGCCATCTGCATTTTCCCTATTTGTGAGGTAATGAAAATGGGGAAGGCACACAAACATCAAAGTAATTGACAATTCACTGCCTATGATTTTCTTTATTACTGATAACATTGATTAGTTTTTGCAGCCCTAATTTTGAGCATAAACTGAACTGTTGTGATGAACTGTATTTCTGCAGAGGTGGGTGAAGAGTATTGAAAAAGTGAGCATGGTCCTGAAAAATGCTTTTTAGCAACTGTAACAAAAACTAATTTCAGCTGTGAAAAGTGCCATTTTTCCACTCTCTAGCTCTCTCTCACACACATACACACACAGTACAATTTCATCCCATCCATTCATTTTTTTTGTTCTTCCGAGTGTTCAAGCGCACGTGCTCAGCAGCCCCTACACTCACTCAGGGTGTATGGACCCAAACTAAGCAAATAAAGAAATCACTTCCTCTGAAGTAGAACAAAAACAAGACATTTTATCAGTTAGCAATAAAAGATAACATTAACAGGACAACAGAAAAAGGAACACTAAAGATAACAAGATACCAAATGATCCGATTTTTATTACTTTATTCG